GAGAGGGCGAGCGAAGCCCTCCGCACCGCGAGGTGGGCCCCTGATGCTCTCTCTCACTCTCTCTCTCTCTCTCTCTCTCTCTCTCTCTCTCTCTCTCTCTCTCTCTCGGGCACAGGATGAACGAGTCAGGGTCGAGCACATGTGTCCGAAAGCCAACTTTGAAGCCTTGAATACCATTGTCTGACGCTCTGCACGGATGCTCTGGGTGTGTGCGGCCTTTGGGGTCTGCCGCCGGTGAGCCCCTTGAACCGGCTCCATGACCCGAAATTAGCTTGCCGGGTGTGCTTGTACCTGCCATAAACCGTATACGCATACATATACATACAGCTGTATGCATGCACATGTACAGATATGCAAACACTGAACCATAAAACCTGCAAGACACAAGCCTGCAGCAAAAGGACACACCACGAATACGAAAGCATGTAATCAACCTCGTGATCCTCTGAGCCAGCCACACAGCTAGCTCCCAGAATCCAGTTACATGCTCAACATTCATCGGTTCAGCAGGATCAAGGCTTGCACGCCAAAGTGTGCGAAATCATGCGAAATCCAAACCTGAAGATGATGTTCTTTGGTCTCCGGCGGTTGCAGCTTCAAAGGCCTAAAAGGACTTAGGCTTCGGGCAGTCGGGCAGTTCAATTTCCATCTGTCAGGAATAAGGCCGGTAGGGCAAAGGGTAGCTCAGCCAAGGAGATTAGATAAGGGTTTAGGGTTTAGGGTTTAGGGTTTAGGGTTTAGGGTTTAGGGTTTAGGGTTTAGGTCACAAAATATGATGAAACACACAAACTCGCCTGGTCGAACTTTAGAGGTTGCGCGACAAAGCAACCCGAACAAACCGGTGGTAAAACCCCAGGAGCTCAGAGCTTACAGTAATGTTTCCTTCTGCCAAGGATTTGGGCTAGGCTTGAGAGCTTTGGGTTGCAGGACGCGCTGTAGGGTTTTGCCACTCAAGCCTGGAAACTCTTGCAGCTTCGGGCTGAGGATCTTGGGCAGTTTGGGGTATCGACTCGCCTGCAACCTGGCTGGCTGGGAAGTGGCAACAGCCTGAAATCTAAGTAGAGAGGGGTGGCCGAAAAGCGACAACGTTGAGCTTGGCACCTTTGACCTAACTGCCCCGCAGCATTGTTGAGCTCTGGAAATCCACCCCAAAAACAGTTCTCTGGAAGCAAGAGCTGCAGACCTTTCGCCGGAATGAATAGCTACAAACATTTCTCCAAGGAGCCCCAGCCACCTATAAAATATCATGTCAAGAAAACTCGCCTACCAAAGCCAAAAGCAGAATCCGCCCTGCTCGAAATTCTATGCTACTGCACGAACACCTTCGCATCCGGCGCCTACAGCGCGGCTGTGGCCACCCTCCTGCGAAGCAGAAGCCTCTGTCTGGACTGCCAGTGGACAGGCATGCTGATGCAGCGCCTGACTGATGGCGGGGCTGCTGCGCCGAAAGTGTGACACTTGGAACGACTAGGGCAAGGAAAAGCTCCAACTGGGTTGGGTGTGCGATGGCGTTGGCCGTGGAAGGCCACTGCCACAACAAGCACCGACCGAGAAGCATCACAATGAACGAGTTCGTTCAAAAACACAAGGCTGATGCGACAACCATGATTCTGAGTACGCTGGCCCGTGACTTGAAAAATACACTCTGACGTCTCTTCGGCACTTCTCGGGATGGGTCAAACCAGCAGCTGCACGCTTGTGTGCAGAAGTGGGAAATGCTTCATTGAGAGCGGTTGAACACATATTCCATAAGAAACAGCAGGAGCAAAACAGTCCGGTTCGATCGCTATCTTCGAAACCTGGGTGCATTACGAAATCCTCGTGTCATTCACACGAGCGGCCATCGGGAATCATTAGACACACCCATGTCAACTCAAAGGATTAGGGCCGAAAGACCCGAAGCCAGCAAGCCGAAATCCTACAAGCTCAAGGACAGGAAGCCGAACATCGGTGTCTAAGTCTAGGGTTTCAGAGTAGTAGGACCTTGAGTTTCGCATTCAGGCTTTGGGACGACCCATTGGACCGATGCTTCTCCTCTAAGCTGTGCCGAATCAGTTCCCAAGCCCCCCGCAAACCGCCCGAGCCCCTGCACGAACAGAAATTCCAGCTTACAGTCGAAACCGGACCCCGATTGTTGAATCTACGACACTTCGGGTTCATGGTTGCCGCCTGCAGCAGCGTACGCTTGCCGTTTCCCGGGCCTTTCATGTCGGAGCGCGTGTGATGAGAGAGTGAGGCTGTGAGAAGGAGCGCTGGATGACCAGCTTCACAGAGAGATGTTTCGTTCTTCGATGATGCATCAGGGTACCGGGCCGTCTGAAAAGAAACCTATATTATAATCGTGTATATATATATATAACTTTTTACAACGATTTGTCTAACCACCCCTACAGCTGTGAGTAAGCTGCAGCCAGGGCTGCGACATGCTGAGTCCAGAAAGTCTTCAACCCAAACCCTCCATCCCAAAATCGAGCAAGAATTACTGCCTTCAAGAGCATTCTAACAGAGTAGCTGCCTGAGTTATCCAGGCTACTGGAGTGTTCAGTCTTGCAGCTTCAGGGCGGCGACCACTAAAGCCTTGGCTCAATGCCTCTTCACATCCTTCTGAACACCCAGAAGCAAGCCTGCACTGCAACGCTCGTTGAAAACATGAGAACCTAAACTCGAGAACCTCCAGAATTTCCCAGCATAAAACCAAGCTCGACAAAGCCAGGGGCAAAGAAGCTTCGCATCGGGAGCTTTGGCTGCCGTGGCCTGGGTCAGTTTGGGGCTTATGGGTCTTGCAGTGGTTAGGATTTAGGTCTTGTCGAATCTAGTGATGGTGCGTGAGAAGAGTCCTGCAGCTTTGCGAAAAGGCCTTTGGGGTGCTTCGCACTGCAGGAGTCTAGGTGCCAGGCAGATTCGCTGTGCGGCGCTCTTAGCGGTTATGATCCTTATAGCTTTGCCGCGCTGTATGCGTAAGTTCTTGTATATTCATCGGCAAAGCGACCGCCTTTTGCGGCAGAGGGCTAAGGCGAACAGAGCGTTTCCGAAACGAAAGCCGAGAGCCCAGCCACCTTAGTGAGGAGTCCTTCCCACATGGCTGAGGCTTTGGGCTTCTCTCAACCAAGGCGGGCCACGGTGTTTGAATAACTACTACAAAGGGCTGAAGGGCTCAGGGCTGGTTGGATGTCAATGCTTGAGCCGAACAGGCGCTGTCGGAACCTTGTGGAAGCGACAGAACATGGAACGCATCTTCCCAAAAGCAAGCTCATCCAACTCTTCACAGGTAGCTTCGGAACTGTGGTCTCCCGCTCCCTGTACATGACGCGTAAGCATCACAGCCAAGCACTGCAGCCAATCCATGAGGCCGCCACAGTTCTGCTCGTATGGACCACCAAAGGATCAGTTGCTATTCATTGCTCGGACAGCCGGTCTTTGTTAGTTGTTTTGCCGATATACTAACCCCACACTCTGTGGCAACATCAGCATCGGACAAGGGTGCCTGGGTGGCCAATCTATGAGGCCAAACGGGTGTCTTGGGTGGCCAATCTATGAGGCCGAGGTGCTGTGTCCTGAGAAGGGCCGAAATGGGTGCACAAGGCCCCGGCTGCCAAGTGGGTCCAGGACTTCGTCAACAGGCTATCTGTGACGAGGTGGTGTCTTTCGTGGGATTGTAAACGGCCAGGAAGTCTTTAATCAGGCCTTGCCCAGGGCAAGCAATTTGGCGCAACTCCTCTCGGGTCATTGCGCGCTGATCTCGTCCGGCATGAATGTCGAAGCTGTTGGAGCCGAAGACCGAAAACAGCTCCGCGCTGCTTGAGCCATGGCCGACAAGCCAGTCCGAGTGGGACTGTCAACGACTGTGTTGCCGGCGTTGCCAGCCTCTGCATAGATTGCGTGGGCCCCTGATGCATCACCCAAGCCAGCTGTGAACAGTGCAATTTTAGAATTGTACCCATTGTTCAGGACAGTAGTGGTGAGATAGAAAAGGTTGGCGGGGTTGGGCTCCCATGCCACAACCATGTCCACATCTGGTCTTGCCAGCATTTGCGCCGTGCATGCCCGGATGTTTGCCCCAACTTCTACAAAGAGCTTCGTCGAGCTAGGTGGTCTGCTTGAACCCGGGCAGATGTTGCAAGAAGGATTCCCAACGCGAGCAGCATTGTTGGGGAGAGTTGTCCACAGCTCCGACAACAAAGGACAATCTGACCAAGAACCTGTAGAGCGCACAGCATCTGACACGATATCCGAGTATTCTCTCAAGCCTCCAAGCCAGGGCGGCTGCAGGCAAAGCCAGCCAAGCCAAGGCGCTTGCGGTTGACACTTTACGCTGGCTTCGCATGGAGCAACGCGGCACTTGTTAGGGCTTCGTGACACACAAGACGGTCTGCGACCACTCTTGACAAGCCTTTGCCCGCGCATTAGACGGTGGAAGCTTCAGTCAACCTATTCACTTTGTGTGTCGGACTATTCCAGGCTTCGCTGGCGATTAACTTTTTCGAGTAGCCACTCCTTAAGCCGAAGGCAAGCTGAGTCTGGAAGCAAAGCGCAAAAGTGAGCAGCATGCAGCGGCGCATCTCCACAAACCAAAGAGCTTGCAAATGCATTTTCACTTCTGTGCCTCACTCAGCTGCAACTGCCCTGAGCGCCCCTCTGCAGGATTGCTCCATGGCCAGGAGGCATCGTCTGGGTCCGCAGTCCCGCTCTCGGTCCGCAGTCCCTTGTGGCCCTGAGGGCTCTGCGCGTCTCCTGCACGAAACACATGGAAACTTGGGGTCAACAGCCGCCAGCATTTGGCACGGCCGGGCATCAAATCGGAGGAAGACAAAGCCCGTCAAGCGAGGAAAGAGCCTTTAGCGAGTCGCGTTTCTGGCTATGTCTCTGTTGCTTCCCACCATCCTGCATCAAGCAGAGATGCGGTCAGTCGTGAGAGATAGAAAGGATGTCAACAAATGCAGCTCCATACCACAAGCCTCGTTGTTCTGTCCTACACATTCCAACTGGACCCCTGCCCCGCTTTGCTTCTGAGCACATTTTGAAGGAAGAGTCCGAGCCTTTGTCTGATGCCACTAGTCCCGTGACGCGGCTGGCGTGGTTGTCGGCCTGGGTCGTGTCAGAGGTTTGGGGGTTTGTGGGGTTTGGTTGAGGTTGAGGCTTTCGTTTTGAGGTTTGGGGCTTCGAGTTTTGGTATAGCCGAAGCTCTTGAACTATCCGGTCGCAAACCTTCGCACTTCAGGCTGGGTTGCTGTGCTGAGGGAGGCTTCAGACGGCTTCCAGAAGCAGCTCCTCCAGATCTTAACAAATCCTACAAGCTCATAGGCTTACATGAATTGCATATTTCAATCGCTTCACCTGCCATAACCTGGTTGTTCGTGTCCCATCAAAGTCTATGCAGACTTTCATATTCAGACCTTACAGCAAAATTGGTTCCACCGTACAATAAGGTCGTCTGCAGAGATTGGAATTAATTTGAGGCTCGGGTCCCCGCATTCCTGTACGAAAAGGTGAACGGACCGCGATCTTCACAATGCATACTTGGTCCGTAAAGGGTCAACGCTACGTTTTTCATCATACCTTTGCGGATTCTGCAGCTTCAGAGGCTTCTGCTGTGAGCTACAAAGCGGAAAGCATGCTTCCAAAACTTGGTATGCCAATGTGGCGATGATGATGATGATCAACATGATGACCATGATGAAAATCATGAACATGATGAACATGATGGAGATGATGGAGGTGATGGTGATGGTGATGGTGATGGTGATGGTGATGGTGATGGTGATGGTGATGGTGATGGTGATGGTGATGGTGATGGTGATGGTGATGGTGATGGCGATGGTGATGGTGATGGCGATGGTGATGACGATGACGATGACGATGATGATGGTGATGGCGATGGTGATGGTGATGGCGATGGTGATGGTGATGGCGATGGCGATGGCGATGACGATGACGATGACGATGAGGAGGAAGAGTAGGCAAGTTGAACGGCTCAGGTTTTCCCTTGCGAGCCTTCGCATCTTCAACCCTCGAGCTTTAGCCCGAAGACGCAAACCCGAAGCCTTCCCAGTCTTGGGCTACTTCTTTGGACCCACCAGCCATGGCTGTAAGACCGTGGTAGATGCAGCTATATATAGTAGCAGCATGTGTAGTGCGAAAAGGTTCGGTAGTGTGAGCCTCCCACGGTTGTATCGTGATTGCTTCTTGGAGAGACGGATTCTTTGGAAGAGGAAGGCTTTTATCGATGAGCAGCGAGAGAGCTTCGCTGAACATGAGCCCGAACTTAGAAGATCTACTAGGCTACGGATCAACGTGCCAGGGCAGCTTCGAAATGATCAACAGGTTATTAGAGCCCAATCCACCACTACCACGGTGCGGATTTCGGGTGAATGGGGTTTGGAGGATGAGTCGTTCCTCTGGCCCATGGGACATAGATGGGGAAGTGACTGCAGCCGGTCACTCTTCTGGCGACCGCATGGTATGCAAACCCCATCACAAGGGGATGCTCGTGCGCGGGAGAGTGCGTCTCTCCGGAATGGGAACCCTTCTTTGTCAGGAGTTACTGCGGTTGTCCAAGGTGCGGTGAGAGCGCTCGCGGGCATGGCCATTCCAACCAAGACATCTACGTCGCGACCTGCGCCAGCAGCCACAGTGGGTACTGTTAGGACGTCGGGCTCGGGACATGTCACAGCTGTTTCGGATGGACTTATTGTCTGAAAGGGGTCAGGGCGTCTGTTGCCATTGGGGACTATTTGAAAAGACTGCTGCTTTGAGGGTTTTGAATATCACAAACTGTTGCTCCCCCTTCAAGTTTTTCAACACTCCGTCCCCACCGCCTGAAACGCAGGCCGCATTTCGCCCGCAGAGCTTCGGCTTCATCCCAAATTCTCGGGCCGACCGTTTCCCCCACAAATCATCGCAACAAAGAAATGCTGTGGATTCCGCCTGGAACAAAAACCTCAAAACATCACAAGCAGAGCCTTTCCGGTTAAGTTTAGGATTTGGGGTTCACCCGGGGTGAGCGGTCCCTCTGATCCATTATGCTTGCGTTCCAGCAGACCTTGCTGTGGTGGTGCATACTAAAACTTGGTATCCAAGCTGTCGCTTTCTCAGCAGCCCTGATCTGTGAGCCCTTGCATGCACCAACATCCTTATCTCCCGATAAATGCCTGAAAGCATAAGGCACCTTGAATCGTAATCTACACCCGTAGCTTTGAAACCTAAATGCTCCCAGAGGAAATCTGAGCCCTAAACCGGGACAGCTCCGAGGGCCTCGGAGCTCCGGTTCGACTGGCCCTGGTGCTTCCCGCGAGTCCAAGGTCCTGTCTGAACGGGAAGCCAGGACATGCAACTTTGATGATGTGTTCACGAGTCGGTGTACGTTTACACCTCCGTACAGATATGCACATGCAAGTTCTGCGACGAACTCAGTTGAAGATGAATACGTATGTACGAATGGATGAGGTAGGCAGGCAGAAGGAAAGGTGGATAGTATGACAGGCATAACATAAGTGGAATGGGTCGGTTGTTAACAGAATCAAATCATCAACCTGGGTATACCTCAGGCAGTGCCCTTCACGACTAGCCCTTGGACAGAATTTCCAGCCGAAATACACACATGGGAATGCCGGTCTTGCCGGTTGTCAATTTCAGGAACTCTCCATGAGCGCGTTCATTTGTCTTGTCTTGTCAGTTTCTCCTCTTGTCGTTTGTGCAATGATGAAGGAAATTGTAATAACTGATTTAAGCTTTGCTGCCGACCTTTGGAGGAGCAGCCCCTTGCAATCTTGCAAGATTTCAACAGACATCTGTGCGCGGACACACACACACACATGCACATCTATATCTGTATTTGTGTGTATATATATACATATATGTATATGCAAATATGCATATATATATACACATATACACATATACACATATACACATGTACACATGTACACATGTACGCATATACGCATATTCACATATACACATATCCACGTATACACATCACAACACATACACACATTCACACGTACGCAAATATACACATATACACATATACACACATTCACATGTACAGACATATGTATATATATATATATATGCATAAACATATACATATATAAATATATTTACACAGAAATGCGTGCATGCAGACATGCGTGCTCACTGTCACGAGGTCGATGCATGCGTCCGTACGGACAACATTACATACGTGCATGCATAGACACATGCAGCCAACACACCCAGCATTTCACATGAGTGCTACTCTATCAGAACAGCTCCTTCAGTTTTGCTCCAGAAAAACCCCGAACCCAATGATACCCAAAGGTTGTGATTTGTGTACAATCCTCCAGCAATCACCCAAAAGTTGTGCATTTCGTACAATCACCAGCAGCTCCGAAGGGCCCCCCTGCGGCCCCTAAGGCAGGTGCAACCTCAGGCCAAGACACAAGTGAACGGAAGGTGTGTCGCTTTTGGATGCAAACACAGCTGCCCCGATTTCCACGACAAAGACCTGTTGAAAGGTGCATGTTAACACTGTTCGAGTGATCAGCACATGAAGTCGGAGTGCCCTTGGGTTCCGATAGATGGGAACACGCAGCAACCTGAAGCAGCGATGCAGCCCCTACAAGGGACGAAAAGGAACCGGGGCAAAGGAGTGGGAAAAGGAAAGAAGGGTGACGCAGCGCCCAAGCTGCAGCGTATTCAAGAGGAGAACCAGGACAAGGCGCAGGTCGCAGAGCGCAAAAATCAGACCGGCGAACCCAGATAGCTGGGGAAGCGTCAGAAATGTTGACGCTTTCGGACATAAATGGTAGAGTTGTCAAAGGTCTTAACCAGGGAGGTCAACCAGTTGGCTCTTCCTTTTTGCATTGCCTCTAGGTAGTTTGGCGCGCGCAGCGCTAATTTACGCTCAGGTTTGCCAATCTGCGAATTGCAATGTCCGGGCCCACTCTTCTTCACATGCCGCAATTGCGGCTTGTGGCGCAACTGAACTCCACTCGGCCTTTCCATTTTTTCGGGTCCCTGGGCCGGGTGTTTGCCAAGGTCAAGACATGCCTATCGCTGACAGTGACAATCGATCCCTCATTGTACAGCTTGTGTGTCACTCTCACACCAGTCAATCGGGACATTTGGGTTGGCAACGTCTTGGAGGCTTCGATTCGACAGTCGAGAGTCTCCTTTCTCTGTCTTGACGTGCCGGATCAATTTCAGACGTGGATCCATCACTTCCCACGCGTCAGACGTGTAACCATGAGCAGCGCCACAACAATCAGGGTACCAATCTGCTGAAGATAGTCAAAAGAGCTGTCATGCAAATCCGACACGCACAGCAAACCCTCTCAAGGCACCAAGCTGTTGCTTTGTCCCCGACAACAAATCAGTCAAACAACTCGCTGCTTGCTCCGCGCTCCACCAGTTTTGTTTTTTCCAAGGCCGGTCTTCGTTCCAAGAACTAGGGTCGTCAATCGAACCAAGACCAGTCTGCCTTGCGCGAGTGCGAGAATCGAACCAAGACCGGTCACCGGACCCATCATCAAGCGAATTTACGCACTCATAACTCCCATCACCATTACCTCCGTGAAGACCAATCATCTTACCATATTCCTGTTCCCGATTCCGCTCCTGATTCCACTCTCCTTGCTGGTTTTCATCATCGGTCACTGCCGACATTTTCCTTTAAACTTTAGCAGTCTCTACTCCGGAGGTCATTGTCCAACGGCCTGATCACTTCTCAGCTTGAACGACAGGATCTCGCTCAGGAGACTCGTGGCTCTCGCTCGTTCAGGCACTGCAGGCTGTCCGCGCAATCTTCCCCGAATCTCCAAGCCATTCTGTGTCCTCATTTCCAAGAATGCCCAAGCGGCACCATGCCAGCATGCACGCCAGTTGTCGTGAGGAGAACAACAGCCGCTGTTTGTTTTGTGCTACGGTCTGCTGCACGTCAAAGGCTTCACTCAGCGGTCACGCTCTGGGACGTTTCGACATCATCCATCATTTTGCTTCGCAACGGGGTTTGTACAATCTAAGACACCACTTCAGTTGTGATGACCAATACTCCCATTTCTCAGCTCACCATGGTACTCCCGCTACCATGCGAAATTCAACCAATTGTGGCTCATCAATCGCCACTCGATCAGGCCAGCTCCTCGCCGTGTGGCATTGCGGCACCACTCCACCACTTCTTCCACTGCTGATGACCATGCTGCCAACTCACGCTGACCACCCTTCCCTGTTTCGGCGCTGATATGGCTGACATGGTCAGTAAACTGACGAAACGTAGTTGTCAAGCTTGCGCCTTGATTGACATTGTTCTGCACCCATGTCCGCCTCGCGACGGTCACTTCTCGATTGTATGCGATGAAGGCGAAATTCGCCTTGCCATTCTCCTCAAGCACTCCTTGCAGCGCCACTGCAGTGACTTCCGCAAGGCACTCATCGTACACCCATCCATGACATCCTCCTTGGCATAGGGGAGGCTCTTCCATTCCAGTTGCCAGTGCCCATTGGTCAGGAGCGCTCCTCACCTGCATGCCGAATCATGCCGACTGCTCGCCGCTGCACCCCCTGCACCATCGGCGGACACGCGCCTCACATAAATGCCACCTGCATGCCGATCGTGCACAGCTGCACCCGCTGCGCCAGCGGTGGACACAGCGGTTCTTTTTTCTAGACAAAACCCCGAATAGCTAAAACTAGCTGGGGAAGAATCAATTAAATTTGGCTGGTTTGTGGCATTTTTTGGGGGTCCAGGAGCCTTTTTGGGACCCGGCCGGTGCACTTGTTGCTACTGTTGGCTAGCTTTCAAACCCGAAACCCGTCATCGAAACTCTTCAAAAAACCAACTAAAGTTGGTTGATTTTTCTGTGGCAGTTTTGACGGCTCCAGGAGCGCTTACGGAACCCGGCCCGTGCACTTGTTGGTCCCCAACTCGCCAAAAAATACAACTAAATTTGGTTGCCTTTCGTTGGCAATTTGGACGGGTCCAGGAGAATTTTTCGGACCCGACTTGTGCACTTGTTGCTGATGTTGGCTAATTTTCAAGCCTGAAATCACACCCAAAACGTTTTTTGGACACGATCTGGGGAACAAAGAACTGACTGATACGACAAGGGCAGGGAAATGCAAGCTCTTGAATGGGAGTTCTGGGAAGGGGGGCTCGAAGTTTCCGAATTAGGCACTACGGAGCTTCACCTTCCGAATGTAAGGCCGCATTCATGGCGAAAGGCGAAAGGCTGCTTCGGATGCTGTTGACCCAAAGGTTCGAGACCTCAAGATGTCCGAGCCACGCGATTTAGATGATAAAGAAGCAAGGCTTCGAGAACGAGCCAGGCAACCAGAACCACACCCAAATGGTTGGCAACACTCTTCGAAAAGGATTCAGCGCCAAGAGAGCCGTGAACCTTAAGTCCACTCCCTCGACGACACTGCTTGCAGGACGTTGTGATGGGCTGTTACCTGAACTTGTGATCTCATGATCCTAAACCCAAGACCCTGAGCAGCCGAGAGCAGACAAGATCTCGAAGTCCTCAGGTCGTCTGCAGTTGGCTCCAAGCTATCCGTCAGCAAGCGGACCTTTCCGGGACAAGCCCTCAACTTCAAGACTGCATCTAAACTCTCCACACAGTAACCATTCAATGAAATATCTACCATCGCCACTAGCCACCAGCAGGACCCCTAAGCCCGAAGCCGTGCACCGGCACAGAGCTAGGGGTCTGGCATGATCCAGGAGTTCCGCCTTGCACATGAGCTGCACTCTTGCGTGGTTTGCTTGGGCCTTGTTGTTTCAAGCTCTAGGATCCAGGATTGAGGGCTCAGGAAAATCACATCGCTTCGGGTGTTGGCCTTTACTGTCACAGAACAGGACTTAGGGTTTTTAGCCATTCGTGCGGTCAGGGTGAACTAGAGTCAAGGGTTTCTGATACGTCCCTCGGGATGCCCCACAAAAGCGGGAGCTTTCAGACAAGCTAAGCTGACGGAAGGCACAACATGCAAGAGTACTCTAGGAAAGTGGCTGAAGCTCTGGGACACGCGGAGGCACGGCTTTGGTGGCCTCACTGTATTTGATGTTGCTTAGGACTCATGGTCAGAGTCTCCGCTGCAAATCTCGGACTTCAGGCTAGGGGTCACAAAAGCTTCAAGCTTGAGGATACTTGAGGATTATATAGGCCTAGGATGTAATCTTTCGGGCCTGTTTACGGTATCAAGCTGAGGCTCCGATATTGCAAATAACTTGTTGGAGGTGTAGGTTTGCCTTTCGATGTTATGTTCAGTGTTTTCAGTTTCCTTTCCTCACAACAACAAGCCTGGCACCTCGGCCGCTAAATGCCGTTAACCCAACATCCTGAGACTGTCAAGCCTTCGACCCAACAACCCCAGAATCTGAATCCCAAGACCCTCAAATTCTCAAACTGAAACACCCCAAATCCAAAACCGAGCTCCAAATCCTAAACCGTTCCATACTCAAAGTCTGAAGGGTTGTCTCTGAAGCCCACAGCTGACCCAAAGTCGAAGCCCACATGAAACCCTCAAGACAGAGATTCAAGAGCGCCTGCGCGCGGACCTCGGAAGTGAGCCTGCGAACTTCCGCCGACATCGCCTGGCACATAGAGGGTTGCTTTAGGTTTTCGGGCTCTGCCCAAAGGCTTTATAAGATTTTTGGATTCAGGGCTGCCAGGCCAAGCACCCAATATGCCAGCCTAAATGGCTACGAACAGTCTTCGGAAAAAAAACCCTGTACAGTTCATAGTTTTCATACACCACAGAGGCCACTCCACTATGAATTTACGAATGCAGAGCGCATGGGCTTTCTGTAAGTTACATAAATAGATCCGCGGGGTTGGGATTGTCTTCAGGTGGTCCTCCGAAACATCACCAATCTCAAACCCAGACCTTTGATCCGGTCGCGATGAAGGCAAACCCTGAGCCGAACCCAAAAAAGCAACAGAGGCCCTGAATCGTGTTTCAGCCGAGCCCAAAATCCGGACAAACACATCCCCAAACCCCAATCCATACCTTGGCAGCGCTTGCACGAAAAAACTAAGCCTTGGCTGCCTCGGATTTGTAAGCAAATACAATTTCTCAAACCCCCAGAAAAACCCTCTAAGCCATAACTCGACTTGTGGGGACCTCCAACCTCTCCAGCGCCAAATCGCCCTGAGCTGCACCGCGGAAGGCTTCCTCCACGGTTCGCTCTCGGGCTTTTGGGGAATCCAACTGAAAAGTTCGCACACTAATGACTACGGCATGGCTTAGGAAATGAAAGTTGCAGATATATGAATGTAACTTGGAATAACCTGGGGATTGTCAACATGGAGCAGGGTCCACCAGACGTAGCGACGCCTCAGAATCCAAAATCCAGGATGCTTAAGACTTAAACAAGTGAGAATTTTGAACCACCGGCAACCACACTGACTCCCTGCAAACCACGAAACATACCCGCGCACATACAGAAAGCCGAAGCTCTACTGATCGAAAACAACTAACCATGCACCCACAACCTCCGCTCAATGCCTCTATGCCATGAACCTCTCGCTCCTCAAACCAAACAGCCAACAAGCTCAGGCACCCGAGAACCCTAAACTGCAAATCCTCGAATCCTCAAGCCGCGCGCCCCCAGGTTGCTGCCTCCCAACAGATGCGGAAGCGGTCGGAGGACCGGTGACTGGGGAGGCTTGGAAAACCTCAGCTTGGCGAGGGCTTGCGGCTCTGTGTTTGGGGTTTTGAAGAGTTGAGGGTTTGAGGTCATGCAGGCACAGAGCTCCACGACATAGTCTACCCAACAAACCTGTTCACAGCTCGCAACGAAAACAAAGAGAAACTGAATCAGGGATCTACAACTGCTAGTTACCTCTATGGTTCTGTACTTCGATTTAAACAAGGCTGTTAGCTGCTGCCGGGCTTGCATGTACCTGCGGCTGACAGACCGCCAGACCGCAAGCACAACCAGCAAAAATTAGCGATTGTCCTGCACATGTGCTCTCATCCACGCTCCTGTCGGTGATCATCACCGGCTGCACAAATGCTGGGGGGTTTAATCCAATCTTTTCTGTCGGTGGGATTTGGACACCGAGATTCCTTGTGACACCGATATTCCTTGTGAGCTTCTGTTCACTCTCAATGACTCTCTGATCGAGAACTTGCTGGTCCATCACACACGTCCCAACAGTTGAACTACGTTCTCAGAAACTGGACTAAAACCGGACTCAAACTGGATTCAAACCGGACTCAAACTGGCCTCAAACTGGACCGCCGTTTGTCAAAATGAACACGGTTTTGATCAAAGAACAGCGCAATGGTCATTAACATGTGCGCTTTTCGAAAAGTGTAAGCAACAAACATAGCGTTTAAAGAATCTACGAATAAGAACAGTACCACTTTCAAAGTGATATTAATGCTTCGTCTGTTTGTGTACATATGAAAATGTAATTTGCTGTGCAGAGTCCTTGGTTTTAATAAAGATATAATTGTACGTATGTATCAAGATTACTATATATATATATAGGTGTTCATTTATTTGTTTAGTTTTTCCGCATTTATAGTGTATGCATCTAGGTGTAACATGTCTAGATGTAACACTGCATGTGTTCCATGTACATCTCCACGCGCCTTGTGTGCGTGCGTCTATACATGTAGAGTCATGTGGAGAAGTAGAAAACATATGAAACCCCAACACCTAAACTGTGTAACCAACCAACAGCGCCAAAACGCAACACGCTTAAACCCCAAAGCCCTTGAATCCAAAACCCCCAAGAGCATCTTTGGCAGCCAGGCCTCCTGAGGTGCTGCCAAAAGCATCCACACCCCTGAACCCCTGAGTATAGATTAATTTCTCCAAAAAGCCTAAATCCCGGGGCCAAGCAGAACGCCTAAACCTGCAAACCCGGCCAAACACAACCTTTGAGGACACACAGTTTTGGGTCTGAGGCGGCTGCCTCTAAACCCCTACGACGACCTCTAAACTCTAAACCGTAAGCCCTGAGATCCCTACAGCCTGAACCCCAAACCTCGAAATCCCTGCGGCTGAGGCACCCGCTCTACATGCTGGACTCTTAAATCCTGGCCGAGCCACGTTCGCGCAACGCTTCCTTCGCAGCCCTGGGCGGGAATGTGGCAGTTGGTTCGTCCCGCATCCCCTCCAGACTAGCCAACTAACAGCGGTCTTGTCGGCTTCAGGTCCCTAAACCCAAAGCCCTCGGAAGCCGGGTAGGACCTGCACTAACCAGCACTTGCGGACATGATATGGGACTAAAAGACACAGGCACAGGCTCTGACGCTCTGGCTTCAAACGCTGGGCTTAAAGCATTTGTGCTTGAGGTGCTGGCGCAAAAACGCGTGATTCTGACGTTTCGGGTTTGCGGTTCAGGTTCAGGTAGAGCCCTATTCGATCAGCCCTCAAGGGGATCTGGCACGGCTAGGGATGCTGCTCAGTGCTGAGAGTGGTAAGTCTCAAACCAGACCTCCACTGTAGGCTACCGCTGCACACCCGTTGCCGCTGAACTTCGGGCTAAATAAGCCTGTAGCTACCAAACGAAGCGAAGACAATCTGCCAGCCTTCGGATTTCTGGGAGAACAAAAAGCGAGTTTGCTGATACGCATTGAGTGGCTGTAGCTCCGCCATGGCCTGCTGCTTTTGCACCTCGCAGTTGCATTCGGGTTTGGGGCTCCTGTGGGGTCGGTTCTTCAAAAAAATTGAAATCCAGGTGAAACCTGAGCGGAATTGATGATTCCAAGGCGAGGCTCTGCTCCTAGGAGCAGTCCAGGGATGCAGGGTTCAAGGCTCTTCCTGCATCTACGACCGAATTGCGAACATTTGTGTGGCATGTCCTTGCCCCTGATTCTCCTTGGACGTGCGCGAAGGTTCACAAATCTCCGCCTGGACCTGCTCCCGGAACTCTTCGAGAAGTTGTGCACGAACTGCCTCCGAGGCTTCACGACCAGGGATTTGTCTTGCAAGAGTTTTCTCGGCATCCGGGCTTGACTGCGACGCTTGCCACTTGCGAGTTAGGAGGCTTCACCTAAAGTTCTATGCTTAGTACATGCCTTTCTCAGCATGTTGCGCCTTGCGAGCACTGCCTACAACCGCAAGTGCTGGTTTAGTGAAGTATACAAGACCCCTCCCCGGAACAACGGCTCCTTGCTCTCTAGTGACTTTATAGTCTCCTCTCGGAGGAGTCTGTAGCAGGAGGAACGGCACAGCCATCCGTATGGCGGTGCGTAGCACACTGCAATGTCAGGCCGAATATCCTAGGCGCACCATTTGGCGACAAGGTTCTGATACATTTGAGTGCTAGTTTCCAGCATCTCTTGTTCGGCCTTGGAAGCCGCCGGCCTTTTAGATGGCCTGAAAGCTTCCTCCATGCTGCGGCGACCAAGATCCACATCTTCTCCACAAAAGCCAATGAAGGAGAGCAACTCAGAAAGCCTTGTGGTTGGATCGTCATATGACCAGCATCTCACCATGTCCGGGTCGAGCAGATTGAGCTGCGCACTCAAGACAGCTAGCGTCATTGTGATGGTCTGGATTGCGCGAAAGATGGTTGAGGCATCAGTGTAATGGGAAATCGGGATCATGCTTGCCGGATGCCGAACAAGGAGCACAATGCGCAAGTCTACTCCACCTGATTCAGCCAGCTTGGCCAAAGTGAAAAGGTCTGGATTTTGGAAACCCCGGTCTGGCCCACCGCCGTTTGGATAAGACATCATGTTGGTGACGGGATTCAGGGGAACCACCTTGCAGCCTGGCATGCTGCTTAGGTTGCTTGCCATGTGCGACATCATTTGAACGACCATTTTTGCAGAGTCTTCTCGGGCAACTGATGACTCTGAGCCGAAAACACCTCCATGTGGTCCGATCTTGCCATCTTTCGAATCGAGCTAATCGTCCAAACTTTGGGAAAAGTGTACTGGAAGCCTCGATAGCATGTCCTGCCAAACGTGGTGCCCAGTGTTTTCGGCTCCTGCGAAGAACACAAATCGAACCTTCGAAATAAACGCCGTCTTCGTCACAGCAAAGTGACCCTTGTCGGGACATGGCGCTTGGAATCGCCTTCCTACCGTGAGCATGCTGACATCCTCACAAGCTTCTTGATCTGCAACATGTACAGGAGCAGCGCTGGAAGTTGCGAGCACTACCAGGGAAGTCAGACGCAACATGGCGGGCAGAAGGCAACTATATGGACGGTACGTAGTGTTTCATGAAGGGGCTTGAGCCAAGGCTAGCAAGCCTCAATGAAGATTTCTGGATTTTCAGGGTCGCAAACACAAAGCCAAGTGGGGAAAGGCACGGAACTGTCAATGATTATGCAATGCAGAACGGAAGCAGAACAACCTGTATGTTCTCAAACCCATGATGCAACACCTCAAACAATGGGTGCACCACCTTACTTCAACCGATCTGACACAACCCTAAGCCGCCTAAATTCAGACGAAACCGCAAACAAAGCCCGCGGCCGCCGAACGCCGAAAGCAGAGGCCTCGAGCTCGGCAGCGAAGTTCGCTCGCAGCTCCTGGAACTCAGCTCAAACGATTGGTAGGGTCAATCCAAGGGTTTACCGTGTATAGGCCTTAAGGATGTTGGGTTCTTTCTGTTTGTGATTTCAGGGTTCAGGGTTCACATCCAGGGGCCAGAGAAGTGTACTGTCTTTAAAAGCGACCAACTTCCCGCGCGAGCAACAAACTCGCATACAGATCACAGTTCACAGTGTAAAAGGTTGCAGAACCCGAAAGACGTCACAGGGCATCTTCTAAGGAAACATAACTGAGACCATGACCACAGTTAAACCACGCTCAACCGTAGCGAACCTTCTTACATGACCCTGCTCCCACAAATTCTCACATCACCCCTTCGAGTGAACCCAACTCTGAACAAAATTCACTGCTAGAACTCCCCTGCGAGTGTCCGAGTGGAAGCGCTGCAACAGTGGCTCCTCACGGGTCGGGAAACATTAGCCGGCTTTAGGTATTCTAGTACTCCACGAAAAGGGATGTAGGATTCGGGTGGGCTTCCGGTGCAGGATCGGAACTCCGGGGGCTCATTTTGCAATACTAGTCGTTCCACTCTCCATGGCCGGAGGGTTTGAAGGTCCGAGGTCGCGTGAGAGCCGAGCGAATAGCGGATGACGGCTCATGGTGTAAAGCAGTGCAACAGACTCAGACCAAAACAAAGGTGTCCACGTTGCGACCTTCGGGGCTTACGGTCGTTCAACATATGTTGCATAGAAACCCAAAGTTTGAAGTACCCGGTGCTAAGGAGATTGATGCATAATTAGGGTGGGGTTTACACAGTATGGAACCAGTATGTGCCAGTTTTGTCTGGCTCCAAACGAGAGTCCGATTCCGAGCCCGGTTTTTTTACCCCATGCTTTATTGCATTGTTTCACACAAAACCAGCTGAAAAGAGTATTTCCCAGCCATGGAGGCTTTCGGTTTTCATTCATAACCGTCAAATCTTTTCGGAATCCGGGTTGATTCTAACCAAAACAGCGTCGGCCGCAAGTTTGAAGATTGTCCGGGCGTCTTAATACAAACGCCACAGCAGCTCGCTCCTCTTGCGTGAGGGTCTGCTCCAGGTGTGCCACCCTGGCGAGCCGAGCGAGTCTCGGATTTGGGGTTTGCCGTGTTAGAAGCGCGGTCGGTATTGTCACATTCAACACATGCATAAGGTGCATGAGGACGGCCTGTCTGTGACCCCTCGGGCCGTGCAGGATACCTTTCTCCCGCAAGATCCGCAAGAAGACTGCGCGGTCAACCATTCGAAAGATGCAGTTTTTGCCCATGGTGTGCCCGAGGCATGCGTTGTCCGTTGAGGATTGGTTCACTTCATGGGTCAAGGTTAAGCGGCATACTTGAGAACCGTGGGCTGGGACGCAAACTCAAGAGTGGACGGGGCTGGTGAAAAACTGCAGATCACGGGCAGACAAAAAGATGCCGCCCAGATAGACATAGAGACGTTCATACGTACATGCACATCCTTTCCTTTCCCACGCTGCAAGAAGGTGTCTCACTTGGCGTGCCGTTTGACGGGTGGCAAGCCGGCTCGTTGTGAGCTCCGTGCTTAGCACGGATCCGGAAGCGTGCTACAAGTGCTGGGTTTGAGCACTGCATCGCAACAGTCCTCGACACCCAATCCTTCCGTGA